CCCCCCCCGGAGGTGACCCGGGGACAGCCGAGGTCGGGACAGCCCCGTCCTTACCCGAGTCATCCACCACGGGCAGCGCCGAGACGCGCTGCTGCACGAAGATGCCCAGGGCCACGTAGATGGGGGTGCCCGTGCCCACCACGGCGATGTTGCTGTAGGTGCCGATCTGCAGCTCCGCCAACGTCCGCGCCATGAACTCGGGCTTGGGCACCTCTGCGATCTGTGGGGGCGGCGAGGGGGGTACGGGGCTGAGCACAGACCCCCCAGGAGAGCGCCGGGGGATGGAGCAGGGGATGTGGGACCCCCGGGTAGGGGTGGTGCAGAGGGTCTGTGCGGCGTCCTGGGGGTCCCCCAGCACCCACAGCGTGTGGGGAGGTACCGGGGCTGTGCCCACTCTGTGCCCAGTGCTGGTGGTACCTGGTACAGGGACCTGGCACAGCCCAGATCGAGGGGCTCGGGGCAGAACTTGGCACAGGGACCTGGCACAGCCCAGGGCTGGGGGTCCCAGGGTGGCCCCCACCCCGTCACCACGGGGCAGGGGCAGGACTTACAAAGAGCTTGAGGAACTTGAGGATGCGTTTGTGGGTGAGGATGTAGAGGGTGTTCCCCGAGTCGGGGTCGATGACGGGCAGACGATGGATCTTGTTGCGGATCAGGGAGGACACGGCGTCGAAGAGGCTGCGGGAGGGAGAGGAGGGGGGATTTAGGGTGTGCCCAGGGGTGCCCCCCCCAAGCCGTGACCCCCCTCCCTGCCCCCCCGGGGGGTACCTGGCGTTGGGGGAGATGCAGACCAGGGGCTTGAAGGAGTCCTGCAGATAAACCTCTGTGGGGAGAGGGGGGGGCTGAGGGGGGTGGGCGGGGGACGGCGCCGGGGGGCTCCGGAAGCACCGGGGGGGGTAGGAGGTGGCCGGCAGAGACCCCCCTCACCTCTCCACGTCTCTATTTTGTGCTCCTCCAGCTCGTAGATCTGCACCTGGGGGGAGGTAAGAGGAGAAACCAGGATCACTCACGGCCATAGGTGGGGTGGGGGCAGAGCCAGACACCCCCCACGCCCTCAGCAGACCCCCGGCCCTCACCATGGGCGACTTGTAGTAGCGGTGCAGGATGTTGATGAAGTCGGTGATGGTCAGCATTCCTGGGGGGGACAGGGAGGGTGAGGGGGGGTCCCTCCAGCCCCTTGCCAGCCCGAGAGCCCCCTGTGCCCCCCCGGCTCACCTACGAAACTTTGCTTCTTGCTGTCCCAGAGAGGGGCCGCCCGGACGCCGTTGGTGACCAGGGCGAAGAACGCCTTCTTCACCTGCGGGCACGGCCGTCAGGGAGCCCCAAAAGTGCCCCCCAGCCCCAAAACTTCCTTCTCCCCGCCCCGGCCCCAGCACACCTGCAGGGACGTGTCGAAGACGACCAGTTTGGAGCTGGTGGGGATCAGGTCGTAGCAGCGGTGGGATTTCATGAAAGCCGTGTAGGCACCGCGGTGGGCGTCCCCTGGGGGGGGGGGCAGCGTGAGGGGGCACCCCAAACCCTGGGGCACCCCAAACCCTGGGGATACCCCAAATCCTGACCCCGGGATACCCCCAATCCTGGGGCACTCCAAATCCTGGCGATACCCCAAATCCTGACCCCCAGGTACCCCAAATCCTGGGGCACCCCAAATCCAAACCTCAGACATCCCGAACCCCAGGACCCTCCCACCCCGGGCCCCCAGGAAAGGGAAAACCCTCTGGATTCTGCCCACCTTGGGACACCTCAAACCCACGCGGCACCTCCCCTGCCGGATCCTCCCCGCACCCTGGATCCCCTAGACCAGCCTGGAATCACCTTCCAGCCCCGGGGGGCTCAGCTCCGCCGGGCTCTCGGTGGCCGGGCCGGGGTCGGGGCCGGGGCCAGGATCCTGGGGGCAGAAACGGAGCGAGTAAGGCCGGGCCGCGGCCCCCGGTCCCGGTAGCCCCGTGTCCCTCCCCGTGTCCCCCCTCCCGGTCCCCGCTGTCCCTCCCCGCCCCCACCTCCATGGCCCCCGCTCCGTCCCGCGGCGCCGCTGCCCCACTTCCGCCCGGCTTCCTGCCCCACTTCCGCCCGGCTTTTCCTACTTCCGTCCGGCCTCCTGCCCCACTTCCGCCCGGCCTCCTGCCCCACTTCCGCTCGGCTTCTTTTCCTACTTCCGCCCGGCTCCTGGCAATTCCAGCGCGGGCCTCCTGGAAGCGAACGAAGCCCTTTCCCCCAGGAAAGAAACCCTGTGACCTTTGGGTTTCAGGGGCGGTTGGTGGCGCAGCCTGGGCACTCCGTGGGCAGCAAGAGCTTTCTGTGGTGGCACCTTTGGTCTGGGAGGAATCTTTGTCCGTACTGAATTTCGGGAGTCGGGCTGGCAAGTTCAGCGCAGGGCTCCGAAAAGCAAAGGATGATTCCTCCCAGGCAAAAAAGTGCCGGGCCAGAAAGCTCTTGCTGCCCGTGGTGACCGCACCAA